CGCGAACGCGCTCAGGCCCGCCTCGCCGCCCGGCGCGCTCATCAGCGCATGCGAGGGAGCTTCGCGGCCCTCGAGCGCCTCCACCTCGCGCGCGCCGAACCGCCCGCGGACGCGGCGGGGGATTTCGAGAATCTCCGCCGTCAGGTCGAGCGCGCGCAGCGGTGGTATCGCGAGGAGTTCGGGATTATCGTGGTATCCTCGGAGGCGGATCCGCAGCCCTTTTCTTACCTTCATTATACCTCCCCCAACGACGAGTTCGACACTTCGAATGCGAACCCGGACGATGAAACGCATCGATTGCTAAGCAACGATCGGTATTTGAACGAAAATGGCTACCACAAAGACGCCTGTCCTGGAAAATTGCGTGAAATTCCTACGCTCGCGGAAATGCCCAATACACGGGAAAACTGGATTCGCTATGCACGCGAAGATGAAGAATTCCGACACTTTTCTGAATCCGTTCAGGAAAATGACGCCTTAATGGATGCCGCCCTCGATCGCATCGAATCGAGTCTTTTACGTTTGCGCGATAGCACGGAGGGGATTTCTCTTGAGTTAAATACCCAAAACGAACTGCTTGACGATACCGAAATGAAGCTCAATCAAAACGAAAACGAATTACGCAGCATTAATCGTCGTCTACAACGAAGCCTCGCAGAGCTGGAATCCTCGACGGTGTGTTCATATGTTTTCTGTCTGCTATCATTGCTTTTTGTTTTAAGCCTCTTGATACGAGTTGTGAGTCAATGAAGGTTTTTGATTGCATTGCGAATTATGAAGACAAAATGAAATGTAAGGAAGGGAAAGAGAGGAATAGGGGGGGAGGGGGGAGGGAGTAAATAATATCAAACTATTATCTTATTAGCAGTAGAAAGGTTACGGTTATCCACAATTCGAATTTACTGTACAACCCCCACCCTCTCCAAAAACTGAAAGTGTTCTCATTCCGTGCAAAAAAATTTAAGATGACTCCAATCTATTGTGTGGATGAAAGAACCCCTCAAAAGTCTCCACAATTCCATGTGTCGATTTCTATCTTCCATCGTACTCTATTTTTCATTTTGGTTTTTATAAGGGTGGTATGGTATTTAGAAAATTAAAACATCTCTATAGAACAATAACCTCTGGTCTTTTTTTTATCTAGACACAACGACATACCGATATACAGGCTGTTACTGTTGGATTTTACGTAATAAAGCACACACCCCACAAGT